TATATATTTATTTATTTATATATTTGTGTATTTATTTATTTATCTTGGTGGAATTTTCAATCGTTCATAAAATGCATTTTAAAGCGCTGAATTGAGCTGAAATTTTATATACAGGATCATTTTGGATGACAATACAATAATTTAATTATAATTAATAAAAATTAATGGATTAAAACTAATTATTTAAAGAATTACAAATACAGCCACGTTGGGGACTTAGCGACCCTTTTGTCGACTTGTGTCAAAACTTGAAAAGGTTTTTTTCTCACGTGTTAAAGCATTCAGTTGGACTGAAATTAAAAGGACACAATACGATACTTTAATGATAATTAAAAAAACTAATTACCACTTAATGTTGTGATTCTGTCCTATGTATATACATATTTATATTAGTTGTAACTATTTAATAAAAAGTAGCTAAAATAAAATTTTTCGTTGTTGATCTAAGTAGGAATTGACTTAAAAACTATTTGTTTATATTACTTGTTTATCTTATCGACCATTCACATTCCAGGATTTCTCTCTTCGAGGGAAAATCATACAACGCACACAGGGCAACTAATTTCATTCAGAATTATTATAAATAATTCCAACATTTACTTAAGCAGAATGTATTAAAAAGTATTTTTGATTGCTTTCTATTCAAATCCAGTCACTGACTAAAAGTACATTTGCGTTAAATTTGAAAAATGTGTGATCTGTATTAAGTACAAAAGAAAAATGTGATATGTTTATTTCTTAACCTAAAAAAAGGGGTGGTTTTAAAATGCTTACAAATAACTGTAAATAATATTATTCCACACATTATTTACAAATTTTATATTGATAGTATCTAGTATTTGTTTTTACAATCAAACGGTTCTTTGTGAGTTAGACGTGTTCACCCAAAATTGTTTGTGTTCTCCATCTCCGTGAAACTATTTTCCACTCGAAGAAATAAATGGAAGTCCGGAAGAAAGAAAGATGCAAATTAGATGTTATTTAAGAGGATCGTGCCTTCCACTGGTTAATGTATATTCTGAGGTACACTCTTCTGCATAAAAATGATATTTTTTTCTTCTGTGTTTGAAATAAGATGTCTGGATGATTCATGGTTCTTGCAATAGATTTGGGGGTTAGAGACTACACGATCAATCATGTCGAATTAAATGATCATGAGCACTCAGGGTTATAGGCTTATTTTTTTTTTAGTATTTCGGCTTTCTTGAATCAGTTTCTAAACATCCTGCTATGTCATATACAGTGAAATACATTTAAAGCGAAAACGCTTCAGACGAAACATCGGTTAACACGAAATAATACAATGATCCCGTCATATACGTATTTTCATGCATTTTTTTCTCTTAACACTGAACAGAAATCGTTTAACACGAAAAAAATCCCCCTTTTAGGAATGAACAAAATATGGAAAATACCAGCCTGATTGGACTGTCTAACCTAATCATCGGAAGAATTTTTTGCAGTAGATGATGGTATTGTGCGTACAGTCAAAATCATGGTAGACAAAGATATTTTGGAGTTCGTTCAAAATTCAAAAAATATCATTGAGGCAGATTCCGACGACGAAAGAGAAATGAATAATGCAGCTCCTGTTGCCCCGTCATCCGAAATGAGGAACATCATAAAAAGTATGTTCAGTTATTTAGACGCACGTTCCAATGGTGAAATGAATTAAAAAAATGGACTAGATCAAACAATTTGTTGACAATTTGTGACATCTCTCGCGTTCTTCTTCTAACATAACTCCTACGTTCTTTGACGGCCACGATTAATGGCAAAACTTTTCCAACCCAATACCAAGAAGAGAAACAAAGCAACAATGCAAATAAGATATACTTTAAAAGGATAGAAAGTTTGGTGAGAGGGATGGCAATCTCTTAGAGAAAGCTTAGTGTGGAACAGTTCGGAACAAGTGTTTAGACGGCCTACTCACAAGGAAGAAGGAAACACCCACCTTCGATAATAATATTTATAAG